TACTACCCAGTTTGTACTCAACAAAGCATCGTAACGCAGTTTCGATGTGCAGCACATAAGTACCCTTCAAACAATTACAGTTGTGAGGGAATGTGGAATCTCATCAAGTTGTTGGCTCTAAAAAGATTGCTAGGAGCATGATGCTGTTCGAAAACATCGTCACAAAACAGCTCAATTTCACCGATAATGACAAGAATGCGAACATAACTTTACATTATATGTAACATTTCGCTTTGTTCGCTTCAAGCGCGGTCATCTCATCTTAGGCTCACGATACGAACTTACCAGCAAAAATTCTAGCGAATTTGTTACTAAGATATTATGCTTTTCCATAGTGCTTGATCAATCGGCAGTCTCCACACTGAAAGCTTTCTGATCTCACCTGTTGCTGCTCATTTCTTTTGCTTCTAGAAACGATTTTCGTGGCGGACGTTTTGGAGGATCTAGGGGAGGTGGGTTCAATCGCGGACGAGGGAACTATCATGGCGGCGGAGGATATCAGGGCGGCAGTTTTCAAAGAGGACGTGGACGAGGGAGCTGGGGTCGAGATGATCATTAGAATATGTGCAGAAGTCAGTTTCAGATCATTAGCGGGTGCGTTGCTGATGTTCTTGCTGTATAATAATATTCAGCGGCGCTTTCAGGTCGCATTCTCACGATCCTTAGGTCTCTCCTGTTTGTACAACTTTTATTGCACTTGAAACGCATTTTTGCGGTTAATCTATTGTATGCACATGTTTGTTTAAGCTTGTTTAAGAATTGTATCTGTTATAATATTTTAAGAGATGTCGATATAATAATGATTGCAACTATGTCGCTCATTGAGTGTCGAACATTCCACACTTATAAAAGATCTTACTTGCCTTTCCTTTACAAATAATGCTGGACTGAATCATCACCGCGAATTTCTTCTCACGTTGGCATACTGCAATCTTTGTAATCTCGCTCGGAACAGGCATGATTCTGAAGATAGATGAGGACGTAATCGAGAAGTGTGAAGATGTGATTGACTACGAGTTGCCTGAAGTGGAACGAGACGACGCTTCTGGCATTATTCGTATTCCGAAAACGATTATACTCCACCCACCCGTCAAGAACACTCCAGAGCAGGTTGATAAGCAGCACATATCGTAATGTTCTTACAAGAATCAATTCAGATTGCGAAAAAGCGAACATTTTGGCGAGAATTTATGAACAAGCATGGAGTAGTAAAAATTGTTGCACCAATGGTAGATCAAAGGTGGGTCGAAAACGGCTTCGTTTTATTGAAAATGGTCTGCTAATGTCCTTTAGCGAACTTGCGTTTCGCATGTTCATGCGTAAATATGGAGCTCATGTGACCGTTACACCGATGATACATGCTCATTTGTTTGTGAATGACACTACCTATCGCAGAAATGCTCTAGCCTTGTGTGAGGCCGATCGTCCTCTCATAGTACAAGTAAGCGATTTTGCGAAATTTTTCTTCGTTCATTTCAAATATCCTTCAAGTTTTGCGCAAACAAGCCGGACACCTTTTTGGCTGCTTGTCGCCTCGTCGAAGGATATTGTGATGGTGTCGATTTGAACCTTGGCTGCCCGCAAATGGTGGCCAAGAAAGGGCGATATGGTGCATACTTACAGGTTTGCGTCCTCTACTTGTATCTTATGCG